CGTCCCGAGGGGGCTCCTGCCACGTCCCAGCCGTGGGGAGCCAGACATCCCCTGGGTGCCTCCCCCAGGGCGTCTCAGCTCACCTGCCCTCCTCTCCTCGCCGCTCCCCAGCTTCTCCCGGGAGCCGAGCTCAGCCCCGCTCTCGGCGTCCTCCTCTCCGGGGATGTCGGAGCCCTAGGGAAGGGTCACGGTGAGACCCCGGGGCCCGTCCCCGGGGTGGTGGGGCGGGGGGTGGCCGGCGCCTGCTCACCCGCCGGCCGATGCTGTCGGCGATGGCCCTGTGCCAGGCGCTGATGATCTGCTCCGAGTCGTGCTGGATGAGGAATTCCGAGCCCTCGCGCGTCCTCAGCTGCCAGGGCAACAGGCAGAGGTCAGGGGAAGGGCACGGGGCTGCCACAGCCGCCGGGATTTGGCAATCAGGATGTGGCTGAGCACGGCGCCCAACTCATGATGGAGATGACCCCGAATGTTGCCGTTTGCTGGCGGGCTGGAGCGGCTGGAAACCTCCTCCCTGCGCAAAGCCCGAGTGGAAAAACCCCTCTGGGGGCCAGGATGTCTCCTGGTGACCTCTCCGTGGCCGTCAGAACAGGACAGCATCCGCAGTGCAGCGTGTCCCTGGGCTCCCCACCCCGCGATGTCACCCAGTGTCCCCACTGCCACCACCCGTGGGGTGAACCAGGCAGGTGTGGCATCGTCTTGCAGGCCACATGTGGCCTCTGGGGGGTGACTGGTGTCCCCCCACTGTCACCCACTCACCTCCAGGACGTTCTTCTTGCTGGATTTGTCCCTGCCGGCCCAGGCCAGGCTGGCCCCCCGCAGCTCCACCGTGTGCTCGGGGGTGGTCAGGGTGCTGGGGTGCCGCTGTGGGGACAAGGGGTTGAGGGTGGCACCTGCCCAGAGGGGATGGGGACACCGGGGTCCTGCTGAAGGAGGAGGGGGGTGTGGGCTGCCCTCCTCCAGAAAGGCAGGGGTGGCAGGTGTCCCCTCTGTCCCCTCCCGTGGTCTCTTCAGGACCAGGGCTCAGTGCTGCCACGGTGGGGTGGAGCTCGTGGCTGTCACCTACAGCTGCCATCACCTTGTGGGACATCCCCAGCCCTGCCAGGGGACCCGGGGTGGGCTTGAGCTTTGGGGTCCCTCTTGGTGACACAGCAGGAAGAGAGTGGGTGACTGTCTGCAGGGAGGGGACAGCCCCCTGAGGTTTTCACAGCATCAGACTGACTGGCTTTCCCCATGCCCTGGTTTTTGGGGTGCTTTGGCCATATTTCACGTCGCCCCAGACCCCTTGCACCCCTCAGACAGAGCACTGAAGCCCCACCCCAGAGGTAGGGCCAGCACCGTGTCCCCCCTGGCCGTGGGTCCCCTGTCCTTCCCCCGGCGCCGTCACCACAGGGTGTTGCAAGAGCCACGGCAGCTTCTGCATCCGGGCTGGGCACCGGAGAGGGGGGCTGGGCACGGCGGGGCTGGGGCTGGCACTGCTTCCTGCTGCTCACTCAGACCAGAGCTGGGTGAGTTTTAGGGTGCTCCAACATTGGTTCCCCCCACAACCCATGTGGGCAGTGTGTGTGTGGCAGGGGGTGTGAGCACAACCCCCCAGTGTGGGGGGACCCAGTGCTGGGGGGTCCTTGGGCAGGGCATTGGCCCTGGCCTGTGGGTCCTGGTCCCATCCTGCAGGTTCTGACCCCATCCCGTGGGATGTTACCCTGTCCCATGGATGGTGGCCCAATCCTGTGGGTGCTGGCCCTGTCCTAGGAGTGCTGGTGCCATCCCATGGGGTCCCACCCCTATCCTACAGGTGCTCTCTTTATCCCATCAGTCCTTGGCCTGTCCCATGGATACTGCCCTCATCCTGTGGGTGCTGACCCCATCCCATGGGTGCTGGCCCTGTCCCGTGGGTGCTGGTCCCATCCTGTGGGAGCTGCCCCCCTCCCCAGGCCACAGGGGCTCTTACCAAGCCACCGGCAGCTGAGTGCTTGGAGTCCTTGAAGAAGGTGAGGATCCCCCCCTCCAGCACCGTCCAGGAGGAGCTCCAGTTCTTCCTGGAGAGCAGAGGAGGGGGAGGTCACACAGGGGGACAGCACAGCCCCTGTTTTTGCTGTCCCCCTGGGCTCCCTTCCTGGGTTGAGGGGGGATACCGGTTCATGCTTACCGGAGCCGCTTCCCTCTGTCCACCGTCTTGGTCCGGTTGAGCACCCCAGCTTTCTCGAGGCTTTTAAACTGGAAGGCAAAGGGGGATGGTGGGTGGGTGGGTGTCAGGTTTGCCCCTTGCCCTGCTCGGTTCTGGGGCGGGGGAGGGCTGGGTGCCCCTCCCTGGGCTCTCACCTTCTCCTCCTTGGTGCCCAGTGCCGGTGACACGGTGCCGTGCCAGGCGAAGAGCCCGCTGTCCTGGCTGGAGCTGCTGCTGGCACGGTGGTGGTGGCCACCTGATGGCACCTGGGCAGGGAGGGAGGGAGGGATCAGGTGATGCCTGAGGTGCTCCTGCCAGCTGGGTGCTGGTCTTCACCCTACACACTGGTTTGAGGCCCTGTGAGGATGCTCATCCCTTATACCCATATTTATCCCTGCCCCGTCCCTGTCTGTACCCCATCCCAGTCCCCATTCCAGTTCCTATCCCTGTCCCCATCCCTGTTCCATTCCCTGTCTCTTTCCCTGCCTCCATCCCCATCCTCAACCCTATTCCCATCCCATCCCATCCCATCCCATCCCATCCCATCCCATCCCATGCCTGTCCCTGTACCGTGTCAGAGAAGTGCTCGGGGTAGAACACGACTCCCTCGTGGTGGCCGTGCCCGTACCAGCCCGGGGGTGAGCCCAGCTCCTCAGGGCGCCTCGGGGACAAGCAGGGAGCAGCCCCCTGGTCGTAGGAGCCCACGGGCGAGTAATCCTCCTCGGGATAACCCTCCAGCTCATCTGGAGACAGGTCGGGATAGTCCGTTTCTGGAGTGGGCGGCTGGAGAGAAGAGACAGGTCAGGGGATCTTGTGCCCCACCAGGAGCATCTGTATCCCCGTGTGGCTGACCCAGGTGGGGCTGCCCCACCTCCATCATCTCCATCCCCATCTCCATCCCCATTCCCATCTGTTTCCACATACATATCCATCTTAACCCCCATCCCTATCCCTGTCTCCCATTCCCATCTCTGCCTTCCTCTCTGCCTTCATCTCCATCTCTGTTTCCATCTCTGTCTCCATCTCCATTCCCATTCCTGTTTTCATCTCTACTGCCATCCCTTTCTCCATCTCCTTATCAATCCCAATATCCATTCCCATCTCCATCCCCATTTCCATCTCCATCTCTATTCCCATCCCTGTCTCCACCTCCAGTTTCACACATCTCCATCTTTGTCTCCATCTCCATCCCATCCGTGTTTCTACCTCCATTCTCATCCCTTTCTCCATCTCTGTCTCCATTCCCATCTTCATCTGTATCCTCAGTCCCACCCATGCCTCTTTTTGTCTCCATCTCCACCTCTGTCTCCATCTTCATCTCCATCACATCTCCCACCCCCTTCTAAATCTCCATCTCTATCTCCATCTCCACTTCCATTCCTATTTCCATCTCCATCCCCGTGCCTGTCTCCCCCCAGTCCCAACCCCAATCCCAATCCCAATCCCAACCCCACTCCTGCGCCCCGCTGGGTGCTCACCCTCTGCTCCGTGGGGCTGTACCGCGTCCCCCCAGGGTACATATCCTGGGGGCTGCCTGTGTCTCCCGCACTGGGGGGGTCCCACGACGTCTCACCTGTTACCGAATTATAGAAAAAGGTCTGGCCGCTTCCTTCATCCACGTGCTGTTCCCAGGCGGGAAACTCCGGGCTGTGTGCGAGCGAGGAGGCGGGAGAGGCGGCGGGACTCACTCCGTCGGCCGCCTGCCCAAAGGGACAATCCCACGTGGTCTGGCCCGTCACGGGGTTATAATAAAACAAATGTCCACTCTCCGTGTCCGTGTGTGTTTCCCAGTCCGACACGGAGCCGCCGGGCTCCTCCGGCACCGAGCCGGCAGCGGCGGCTTCTTCCCGCAGCTCCTGGATGTTGAGGTAGATGGGATCAGGCGGCTCCTCCGGCTCCTTGCGCGCCTGGGGGGGGACAGGAGGGGGTCACTGGGTGCCTCAGGTGGGATGGTGTTCCTGGGATGTCCCCACAGCGGTGCACAAGTCGAGGACACGGATCCTGCTCTTGCTGCTGGGGCGCCCTCCTGGGCATCCCACTGAGCGGTGCCAGCAATGGGGTGCAGATTGTGGCACGTGGAGGGGGCACCCACAGCCCCCACAGTGGGGAGGAGCACCCACTGGCAGAGGGGATGGGAGTCCAGACCGAGTGGGTGGAGAGACAGGGTAGTCGCCGGTGCCAGCACCCACGTCAGGAGTACCTGTGTCACCTGCTGCAGGCAGCGCCCTCACAACCAGCACCACATCACCGGTACCTGCAGCACCTGCATCATCAGCACCCTCATCACCCACTGGGTGCAGCACCCACATCGTCACCCACCTGCATCACTGGCACCCACATCGCCTGCCACCGACAACACCCACATCACCTGCACCCACATCACCAGTGTCACCTGCTGCACACAGCACCTGCATCACCCACTGCATCAGCACCCACATCAGCACCCGCATCACTGCCACCCAAACCATGAACACCCGCAACATCTGCACCAACATCTGCCACCCCAAGGCCACAGACATGCTCAGCCTCTGCACCCACGTCCCCGACACCAGCACCCCAACACTCACACCCACCCCACCCTCACCCACACCCCAGCGCCCCCAACACCAGCACCCAGAGCACCAGCACTCGCATCACCAACACCAGCACCCACATCACCTGCAATCATAGCACCTGCACCCTCAAAACCAGCACCCCAGGACACCTCCAGGACACACATCACTGACACCAGCACCCCCGTCACCTGCACCCTTGGGCATTTCCAGCACCCACATCACCAGCACCCACAGCCTCTGCCTCCCTCCCAGTGCCGGATGCTGAGCTGACAGCCCCATCACCACATCCCAAAATAAAGGCCCCACCGCTGGCCTGGCCTGGCTGACACCCACCCACAGGGCTGCTCAGGGTGGGGGGATGTGCCCCCTGGGACCAGGCAGGTGCTGCCAGCCAGGAAACCCCTCCTGGCACCCTTTGAACTCCCCCAGTTTTACAGCCCAAGCCTCTCACTAATGGCCACGGGGACAAAGGTCCAACCCTGGCCCTGCCCACCAGCCAGGGTGGGGGGAACAGCAGGCACAGTGTCCCTGGGGACACTCTGGATCCAAGAGGGACAGAGACTGGGTGACATCCCCTCACCCTCCCCCCATCACCCCACAACCCCCCTGCCATGGGAGCAGGGCTGGAATCCAGCACAGGGGGCCACCCTCCCTCTTGGGGACAGGGGACATGGGGGTGACCATGGGGGATCCCTGGCACTGAGCCCCCCAGCACCTCCCTCTATCCCCTGGGTGCATCCCCAGGGGGGTTTTCTCCCCTGGGGTGGGCTGGGTGCCCCTCACTGCTTTGGAACGGGCATCGTGGCACCCGCCAGTGCCCATAAACACCCAGGGAAACCCAAGGGGGAGTTTGGACGAGTATGACCCCAAAACACCCCCCAGCTCCCCCCTGGGCGCACCCATGGGTGCTTCCTTCCTACCTTCCCCAAGTGCAGCAGCCTCGACACCCTGCTCCGGGCCCGCCGGGGACCCCCCGACTCCCGGTCACCCATGGCGGGGGGCACCGGGCTGGGGGTGCAGCGTGGGGGGCACCGGGGTGGGAGGCAGCCGTGGGGGCACCGGGAGGCTCCAGTAACGCCCCCGGTGCCCTGAGCCAGGCCCTGCACCCGCCGCGCTTCCTGCCGGGGTTCGGGGAGCGGAAGAGACGCCTGGGGCGGAATTGGCTTTTCTCGGGGGCTGCTGTCATCACCTATCACCCCCCCCAACTCGTCACCAGCTCCGGCAAAGCCAAGGGCCACCCGAGCAGGAATTGCACGGGATGATCCCCCCCAAATTTAGGTTGGCACCTGTGGTGCCGTGCTGGGCCACCGGAAGCTGATCTGGGGCTGCTGCATCCCCCCCAACACCAGCAGTCAAGGTGGGGTGGGGGGTGCACGTGGTGGCAGGGCCAAGGCCACCACTGGTCCCATCATGGCTGATACGGGATGGTTTGGGCACCAGCTGGATTTGGGCAGGGAAGGGGAATGATCTGGTGGTGGCACTGGGGTTGGGGACCCCACCGGGTCACCACCAGAGGGGGGCCGGTGGCTTTGGGTGTGCAAAGGGCACAGCTGAGGGCACAGCATGGAAAATGGGGGGAAAATGGGGTGAAAATGGGGTGTAAAACACAGCCCGCCACCACTAACACCCCCTTTCCCTCCAGTAACACCCCCTCCCAGGTGGAACAATCCCTCCAGCCCCCCTCCAAGTGGGGGACACCCAGGCTTGGGGTGCTGCAGGTGCCTGGGGTTACCCCAAAGCGAGGTGCTGGGGTGGGGGACAAGGCCTGTGGACCCCCCCCTCTGCTGGCACATTCTCAGCCGTGTGCCCCACTCCATGCCCATGCCAGGTGAGCAGACAGGGAGGTTCCCCCACCCTTGGGTGCCCCCCCAGGAGGGGTTCAGCCCAGGGGCCGCTGTGAAGGGCCCTTTGCTACTTACTGGTGTGGGGTGGGCGTGGGTTTGGGGGCGAGGGGCGCTGGCCTGTGCCGGGGTGCACCCAGCACCCACCTCGGTCCCGGGTGCTGCACCCAGGTGAGGCGCCCAGGTGAGGCCCCCGCCCCGGCAGGGAGGAGCTGCCGCGCTTCCCTGTTAACCCCTTTCTGCCTTCCCTCACCCCGGAACGCTGCTGGGACCTGGGAATGACACTCCAAAGCCCCCCTGAGTGGCACCGAGCCCCCCACCCCGGCACTACGGAGCTCTGCAGGGCAGGGGGACTGGGAGAGCCCGGGGGGGCCATGAGGGTGGGGAAACTGAGGCACGGGGTGGGGGGCTGAGGGTGGAAGGTGTGCGGGGAGGGGGGTGCCCGGTGCGGGGGGTCGCTCATCCGTCCCCCGAGCTGGTTAATGTTGACAAACCTCTACGGGGAGATCACCTGTAGGTTTGCCCCACAGGGTCAGCTCGGTGGGGGGGGGACACGGGGGGCCTGGCAGTGCCTACGATGCCGGGCTGTCACCCCACCCTGTGCCGGGGGTCGCAGGGTCCCAGTGGGGCACACAATCAGCAGAGGGACCCGGGTGTCCTGCCTGCCCGCACACTCAAAGTTCTCCCCCCCGCGCAGCTTTTGGGGACAGCAGCGGGGCTGTCACCGTACCTGAGCCGCAGGGCCGGCCCCCGGCCACCTCCTGGCCACATCCCTGTCCTTGCCGGGGGCGCAGAGCGTCTCGGAGCGGCTCTTCCCGAGCGGCCGAGCGTGTCCTGGCGAGTCCCCGCGAGCCCCCGTGGTGGTGGCACCGCGTGGTGACGGTGTCACCCGCGCCAGGTCATCCAGGGAGTGCGAAGGTCTCACGGGCTCGGCGGGCTTCGGGGTCAGTCCCGAGGGGACCCGGAAAGAGCTGAGTGACGGCGGGGAATCCCTCTGGAGCACCGAGTCCCTCCTGGGCACCGAGTCCCTCCTGGGCACCGAGTCCCTCCTTGGCACCGAGTCCCGCCGGGGCACCGGGCACCCCCCCGATGGCTCCCCCGGCTCGGTGGCACTGACGAACCGATACTCGTAGGCTGGTGGGTGCTGGGGGACGAGCGGGGCCGGCTCCGTCGCGACATGTCCCGACGGCGGAGGGTCGAGCGGGGCTGGGGAGGCGATGGGGGGCAGCTCCTTGACGTACTGGGCCGGGATGTAGAAGGGCCGGGCGTCCCCGCTCCGCCGGACGTGCCACCAGTGGGGGTTGGTGCGTTTGAGGAGGATGTAGCGCTCGTTGGGTTTGATGGAGACCAAGGTGCCGTCCTTGGCGCGGTACTCGAAGCCGTACTCCACCAGCACCAGCGACTCCTCCGCCGGCACCGCCGCCTCCATGGCCTTCCCGGCACCTCCGCCTGCGGGACACGGGGCAGGGAAGCGGTGACCCAGCACCCCGACTCCTCTTGGGGTGTGTGAGAACCCCCTCCCCCAGCTCAGCTCTCTCGGGGTCCCCACTGAGCCTCGGCCCAACGAGGTCGTTCCACAAACCACCCAAACCTGCTGGAACAGCCCCGGGGTCACCGCCACTGTCCTCGTCCCCATCCCCAAACCCCCCCAAGCCATCGAGCCCCGAGTCCCTGGGCCCCCAGAGCCACCGAGCCCCCCGACCCTCACCTGCGGCCGGCGCTGGGGCGCGGGCGGGTGCGCGCCCGTGGGTCCCGCTCGTGCCCGCGCCGGGCTGGTCTCGACTCGCCCTGGTTTCCTGCCTCGACGATTCACGGGGCCGGGCTCCACGGCGGGGCCGGGTGCCCAGCCCCCCGGCCCGGGAGAGGGCTGCTGGTGGGGCCCAGCCCGTTTCCTCCCCTCGGGCGGGCGGGAAGGGACGACGGCGGAGGGGACTCGCTGCTGCCCGACGAGGAAACGGCTCCTCGGGAGGTTCCTGCCGCAGGAAGGGCCCAGCCCCGGGGCTCAGCCGGGATCTGCGCTGCTGCCGGATCCGGCACGGCCTCCCCGGGCACAGGGATGGGGACCCCGTTAGGGGGGTCCCATGGGAGCTGCCGTGCCCTGGCTTTTGCCTCCACCCACCCCAGGGAGTCCCACCGTGCTGGTGGGCACACACCAAATCTTTCCGGCACCGGCATGGCGGGGGAAAGAACAACCGGAGAGGCTGAAACCGCTGGGGGAGCAGGTGGGAAGGAAAATTGGGCAGGGAGAAAAGGGAAGGGTCCCCCAACCACCCTGCAAAACCCCTGAGGATGGAGAACAGGCAGGGGGGATGGAGGACAGAGGAAAAGGGACAGGCAGCATCCCCGTTCCCAACCCTCCTCCCACAGAGACGTCGTGTCAGGTTGAACCTGTGATCTGGCCCCTGCTGCAGAGAAGGAAACCCAAAACCAGCTTCACTAGTTGTTAAATAAACTTTATTTTTGCACGGGGAGGGGTTAAAGGAAAAATAAAATTTCTCCCGAGGATGAGCAGCAGCAGGGGGGAGGAGCAGCCCGTGGCTCTCCCACGGCGCTGGGTGGGCTCTCTGAGCGGGAGATGCTCAGGGTGCCCACGGTCCCCCCCCCGGGCGCGCAGGTCCCTAAAGGCACAAGTGTCACTTTGTCCCCTCCCTGCGCGGCTCCCTCACCCCGGAGCAGCCCAGCTTGTGCAAAACCCCCCACGTAAAAAAATACCGGTTTTTCAGTAACGAACGTCTTAAAAAACTAGAGCTTTGATCAACGTCAGTTCTCCACATCCTTGACTGGAAATCTGGACTGACATCCGGGAAAGGCTGCTGGGTTCCACCGGGAGGGGACATTGGCACTAGGAGGGTGGTGGGGAGCAGCACCTGGTTAGTGTGAGGAGGGTTGGACCTTTCCACCCGCCCTGCTCAGCCCTGGGTGGGCAGAGGGTCCCAGAGGACCAGAGCCCCCATCCCACACTGTCCCTGTCCCCAGGGAAGGGCGGGGCGCAGGATGGGCTCCCGGGCAGGGGGTCTGTGCTGTGCCCCTCCTGCCATCCCCGTCCCCTGGGGCTCATCCGGCTGGATGAGAAGCCGAGGGCAGCGCTGAGGTCGGTGCTGGGGGCTAAAGGCTGGGCTCTGTGCTGTCCTCCAGCCGCTGCTGGTACCGCTGCCGGCGCTCACAGCGCGGGCACGACATGGCCCGGGCTTGGCAGTCCCGGTGGAAGACGGTTTTGCACTCGCTGCACCTGGGAAAACAGGGGAAAAAAAACACCCACTGTGTTGGTAACACCAGAGCAAACACCAAACTCCTCCCCCCAACCAAACCAGGCATCACTTCCCTATCTTGGGGTTCTCAGAGCCCCAGCCTGGCTCTGGCTCTGGCTCTGGCTCAGGAGGAGCCTTGAGTGCAGGAGCAGCAGCTGCTCGAGCAAAACATCCACCTCCAAGCCAGAAGGAGTGTCGTGGGTGCTGCTGGCAGCTGCCAGTGAGGGAGAGAGACCCAGTGAGGTCTGAGCTGAGGTTTGTGTCCTGCTCTCACAGCGGGGACAGCGCTGAGCGAAGCTTTGAAGGTGTGACAACCACCCCTGGAACAACGAACCCTGTGACAGTGACCCTGAGACACCAAACCCTGGACACTGACCCCTTGACACAGATCTCGTCCCCACTACAAGGGCTGAGCTCAGTTTTTGGGTTGTGATCCCCAGCTCCCCAGAGGCAGCAAAATGCTGCTCAGCCACATGCCAGCGGGGCAGCCGGATTTATCTGTCGGTGTGCAAATACCTGGTGCACAATCCATGTGTGAACAGCACCAGACACCTTAATTCCCCAAGGCACTCGTGGGAGCAGAGCAGCGAAACACCCGGCAGCGTCAGCAAAGGGACCGTGACATCACAGCCGGCATCAAACCCTGCTCCTGACAGGAGCTGCAAACCCCGAGGGACTCGGGATAGGGAAAGACTTGTGCATGGCCGGGAGGGATTTGGAATGGGAGATATGCATTTCCCCACTGGAATACACTGCATTTCCCCACTGGAATACACTTCTACTTGGCCTCTCCACGTTAGCAGCAGTGGTGGCTGCTCCCTGGGGGAGGTGGTAGTGGTGGTGGGGGATTTGGGAAGCCGGGGCTGGTTCCCAGGAGAGGTGACATCTCCTGCCTCCACCTGCCCGAGCCCCGGCGCAGGAAGCGCCCGAGCTGCAGGAGCCCTGGAGGGGGGGGGTCATTGTTTGAGGTGTCGCAGACACATCCTGCAGCGAGTGTTGGTGTGAGCCCGGGGCGGGCAGAGGGGCAGGAAGCTGGGTTTAGCTCCGCGAGGACGGCGGTCGAGCCGCTTTCCTGCTGCACAACCTCCTCCTCCTCCGTCGGGTGGAAAAAGAAAGACGTCAACGAAGTTCAGAGCTCGGCTTTGCGGGGCACGAGACCTCCAGCCGGCTGCCAGCCGGCTCAGCCACACATGCCGGCGCTTTCCAGAGCCTGGCTGCTCTTTTTCCAGGGAAAACGGGCCCCCTGGGGGTGTTGTTTTCTCGATAACGAGCTCGCTGCTGTGGCTGCAGCAGGGAGGGGAGTGAGCAGCGCTGCTCAGCCACCACGGAAATACAGCCACGAAACCCACGGATCCTTGCTATCCCTGGTATTTTCTGCAGGTTCTGGGAGTTGCTGCTCACTTTTAAGGGATTGCCAGGCAAAGTGAGGCCGTGCAGACCATCGGCCTGTGAAATCTCTCTGCCAGGATTGTGCTCAGTGCCAAATAGGATATGACAAGACAAGAGGAAACGGCCTCACGTTGCCCCAGGGGAGGTTTAGGTTGGATTTTAGGGAAAATTTCTTCAGGAAAAGGGTTGTCCAGCTCCGGCACAGGTTGCCCAGGGCAGTGTTGGGAGTCTCCCCCATCACTGGGGGGGTCCTAAAAGCTGTGTGGATGTGGCATTTGGGGACATGAGTTAGTGGTGGCCTTGGCAGTGCTGGGGAACGGTTGGACTGGATGATCTCAGGGGGCTTTTCCAACCGGAACAATGACATGATTCTATGAAATAACCATGGAGATGTGGATCTCTCTCCACCTCAAATGGAGCAGGCTCCTGGGCTGGAAGGGTTGGATACTGACTTCTTCAGCAAATCCCCCTCTACCACCCTCCCCCTGTCCCTGATTCCAAGTTCTGTCCAGCTTGCTGCATCCCAAGCCACAGCCGACCCTGCTGCAGGGCAGGTCCCTGCCTGTGAGGGATGGGAGCTCTTTGGGCAGAGGGAAAACTCCAGCGAGAGCCACTGTCACCCCTGTCCTAATGGGAACATCCTCAGCCTCCTCCCAGCACATTTGGCTTTGTTGCCCTGGCTGCCCCTGGATCCCTGGAAGCGTCCAAGGCCAAGCTGGATGGGACTGGGAGCAACCTGGGCTAGTGGAAGGTGTCCCTGCCCGTGTCAGGGGGGCGGAACTGGATGTTTTTTAAGGTCCCCTCCAACCCAAACCATTCTAGGATTCTATGAAATCCACGTCCAGGCACCTTTCCTCCCCCCTCCCTGGCCGTAGATAGGGGTAGGACGTCACTCTCACAACAACATGGGCAGCGCAAGGATGTGGCTCCCAACGGGGACGTGGCACGTGGGGACACAGCTCCCCACGAGGGCATGGGCACCAAAAAATGGTTCCCACAAGGATGAGAACACCACAGTGTGGTTCCCACGAGGATACACAACCACGTCAGAGCCACTCCCAGCTCACCCCGAGGCCACGTGCCTGGGAAGCGCAGACCCCCCCCCCAGAGGGACCTAAGGTCCCTCTGGGGGGGGGGTCTGCGCTTCCCAGGCACGTGGCACAAGCCAGGCCGTGCCCTCTGGAGTGTCCTGGCTTCAGGGGGACAGAGGGGAGGCTCACCTGGTGGTGGTGTCGAACTCGAAGGGGAAGATGATGTCGCTGCCGTTGCAGATCTGGCAGATGAAGCCGCGCTGGGTGCACAGGTCGCAGCTGTAGACGTGGTGGGAGGCGAACTGCAGCAGGGACTGCAGGAAGGTCTCAAAGACGCCGTCGGCGATCTGGTTGAGGGTGACATGGCGGGGGGGGAAGGGGGTCAGTGCGCTCTCCTGGAGCCCGGGTTTGGGCTGGGTCGCACTTGTTCTTGGGAGGTGCCACGCGAAGGCAAGGCTGTCCTCCCAAAAAACAACCTGCACCCAGGGACCCCAGAACACTAACAGCACCCACAACCCGCCAGGATGGGGCTCCTGGCTTCGGAACCACTGAAAAATCCAACTGTTGGAAACTGAAGAAGCACCATGTAGTGTCTCCACAGACCTCGAGGTGTCTTAACCAGCAAAACCCCTATTGGACGGGGCTTGGAGCAACCTGGGCTGGTGGAAGGTGTCCCTGCCTGTGGCTGGGGGTGGGACTGGATGGTCTTTAAGGTCCCTTCCAACCCAAAGCACTCTGTGATTCTGTGACCATGCAAAGCTCTCACCTGCCTCAGGTCAGCGACGCTGTATTTGTGGGGACACTCCAAGAGGTAATGCCTGTGATCAAGCCTGCAAAGAAGTACAGAGAGATGGTTTCCACCCCATCTCCAACAGCTTTG